CAGACTACTGTAAATTAAAGGTAATTTAGTCGTGGATAGCTGCATAAAGAGATATAAAACAAATTTTATTTTCTATTCTTAGACAAAAAGAAACGATTTACAATCGGCTAAAATTTAAATTATTAATTCGCCAACAATTTTAATTATATCCAATGTTTAAACTTAACTAAGTACCAACTACATACATATTACTAAATATTATTATCATAGATTTCATATAACACAAACAAGTATATACAGTAAACTATAAAATTAATTTTTTCATTGCTGTGGATAAATTATTAACTACAAATGTGATACTCGTAACACTTTAACATTTAACAAGCGGTTTAATAAACATCTAAAAGCGCATTTTCTCAGTCATATCGTTGTTTCGTTTGCATGTATTGGGCGGCGTCCTATTAATTGATATTTTTTAGAATTGGTTTTTTTTCTTGCCTAAATTTTTGGAAAATATTTCTAGCAAAAAATGTCAATTTGACCATTCAAGTAAAAGTTGACCATAAATTGCTCATCATTCATTTATAATTAAATAAGAATGGATAAATAACAATAAATAATTATACATACATACATATATTATTAAAAAAAAAGAAGGGTTTTAAGAATAATTTACCTAATTACTGAATTTTAACCTTAAATGTACATTATGATTTGCTGGTATTTATACGCAGCGAGTGATAGTTAAACTAAAAAACGACACCGTGTTGTGTTTATTCTTTAATGAATTTATCGCGTATAATATAGCTCAACAAAATTAAACTAAATCATATATTTCTCTTTTATTAAACATTTAGTACAGTTTTGTGGGAAACTTTATAGGCTTTCCAATTATGTAAAAATATCACCTAGACTCATTTCGAATTATTTTTGAAAATGCATAATTCTCAGAGATGTGTGAAAAGTTTTCAATGAAAACTTAAAAAACATTTCATGAAAACCGTTTAATTTCAATGAACATTATTATTAATAATAATTATACATTATGATAATTTCAGTGTAATTACTTATCAAGTTACAAGTACTTTAATACATTGAGTGAGTATGTTCGCATGTGGATGCAGCCTGTACTGGTACACGTACAGGCGTTCCATACCCACTATGTATTAAAATGCTTGTAATTCAATAGTACTTATCTTAAAGTTATATCGACGCAACACAAATTTTTGTAAAAAATAAGACTAAAAAATAATTTTAAAAATTAAAAAAAAAAAAATTTTTGAGACAATTAATAAAAAATATGCTTTTAAAGTAGTTCATAACTATACAAATTATTTAAAAAAAATAAAAACAAAATATTTGTTGAACCAAAAGTTATTGAAGATGTCAGAACATGGTGGGACATTTTGTATATTTAAATATCGGGATAACTGATTATACTTGTTTCCTTTTACCAATTCTTTATAGTGTAACAAGACATACGTAATTGTTTTAACATGTTTTCAATTTTATTTTTTTGAAAAGTTTCAGCAAAGTTTAACATAAATAAAAAACATAAAAACTTACATCATTTATAATACTACACTAATTCGAGTTAGGATTACTGTTGCGCAGGTCCATATTTTCCATTAGGCACAGTAGGCAGCTGCCTAAGGCCACCGTTTATTAAAGGCCTTAGATTTTTAGATCAAACCTTTTTTTTCTTATAGTAAAGCATTTTCATCGTATAATATAAGAGGACATAATTTCAACCTTGTCTTGGGCCTCAAAATACCTAAATTAGGCTCTGCTGATAAACTTTCAATATTATATTTATCACAAAAACTTTTCCAAAGTGTTAAAAATGACTTTTTCAAGTGACAATTTAAATGTTAATTTTACAGGAAGTTTTGAGGTAAGGTCTCTTTTTTAATTTTTTGTAATATTGAACAAGTCAATAGGGAAAATTTATTTAAAAAAATTATAAATGTTGAAGATGCNTCAATAGGGAAAATTTATTTTAAAAAATTATAAATGTTGAAGATGCGTTCAATTTCAGCGTTTTTTCATTAGTCACTCAATTTAGAGTAAAATAAAATCAAGTGTCACCTCAATTTATAAGAGAATTCTGTGAATTATGTATGATTTAACTTATTTTTGTTCTTAATGAAATCCTAGGGATAAAATTTCACATAATTTTAGATTTAGAAAAAAATCTAAAAAACGCTTTTAAGTACATTACCACTTCGTATAGAATTACATACATAGTTAAAAACTATCAATATAAGATGGATTTGTTTTGTTTGTAGTAACGGATTTGTGAAATAAAACTGTACTTATCAATAACGGAATACACGTCGTAAAGAATTAATAATATTAGTTATCTAAGAGGGTGTATGTTGTATTAAAAATAAACTAGTGAACAATAGAAGAATTTCCGCGAAAAGCGATAAAGAATAATAACGTTTACTACATTAAAGTTAGATACAATTTTTTTTTATTGAACAGATGTTTGTTTCACAGGTGGAAAATTATTATAAACAGATTATTATAGATCGGCCCTAATAGGTTGATTAATTTACTGGCGAGTAGTATTTATATATTTTTTAGGATATTAAATTCTAAATATGTTTCAGAATGTTTTATTTATAAAACGGCCGTACAGTGTAATTCTCCGAATTATGCGTCGAATTATATTAACGTTGGTTTTCCAGTGATGGTAGGTCAGGGTAACAACAATCAATGTATCAACGATATATTTTTGAGATGAGGGATAACAAAGGACGCGTAGCGGTATTATGGTACTTTCTGAAATAACTGAATTAAATAAAAAACTTGTTAAATGTTTTAAAGTGATTTTAAGTATATTGGCATGTAATGATGTAAATCCAAAAAAATGTGAGAATTATATAAAAGATACTTTTATGGTTTATTTGAAATTATATCCATGGTATAAATGCCTCCACGTTTCTATAGGATCTTAATATATGGTTAAAAAGTTATTGAACTTGTTCATTTTCCAATGGGTAGTTTATTTGAGGAAGCATAAATAAAGGTTACATCACATTTAGACGCCATAATATCCGTAAAACTTTGAGATGAGATACCAACACAGACCTCATACATATTCTTTGCACTTCATCTGATGCTCTCATTATTTTTATTAGTTTGAGTATAAAAGTATAAAAGAAAAAAAATTGTGTTCTGAAGCATTAATTTTATTAAACAATAATGTTTAAATCGATATTCTGAAGAATCTATGTTATATTCAAATAGTAGTTCCAAAGCTATAAATCAAGTGATTACTCTGGTAACTTGGATATATAAGTGAAAACGTGTAACTTTTTGGTTTAATACAAAATATATATGTGTGTATTATAAGTGTACCTTAAAAAATGAACTGAAAACCTAAAAAAGGGTATAAATTTAATTTTTTTTACATAGATTTGTTTAAATAGTTAAGTTGTTTTTTAACATATATTTATCAAGAAAGTTATGCACTATATTTCTTTAAACAGTTGATTTATTTATTTATTATTAAGTACAAGAAAAAAGCCCGGATTATACTTATTTGGAGCCCCGGAGTCAGATTTTATAATCGGCTCAAGCAATACTTTTATCAAATATTTCATTGTTAAAAGTGAAATAAAACATTTTTATTTATTCATAGTTTAAAGATCGTTGATTATTTTTTGAATATGCAATTATTGTGAGATCCTCAAAAAACTTCAAAATTTTGAAGCCCCGGAATCATGGCTCCCCCTTAATCCGGGCCTGACAAGAAAAATAATATTTAGATTTAATTAAATAATAAATTATTATTAATACATGTAAATTATTTTATTTTATTTTGACTTATTGCTGTTATTAAGTAAGACATTATTTATTAAAATACATTAAATGCCTTTTTAATTTATGCTGCAAATATTATATGTGTATATACTTCAGATGTATTCATTAAAGTTAAAAATAAACATTACCAATTAAAATTACTAACTAATATGTACATTCATTTTATATATAAAAAGTATTTCATAAGTCTCATTAATATTCTATAGATATTATTTTTTATAATTATTTAAAACGAGTTAAAAAAAACAAAACAAGTAAATTTAAAATTTAATGACCTTACAAGCATATATTCTGGCGTACAGTGTCAAAAATCGAATGGGTTCCCCTTTTATGACCTCTTTTAAGTGGAGATTAAAAAAATAATATCAAATTTGAATTTTTTTAACTTTAAAACACTTATTATAAACATTTTGTTTTTTAATACTCAAAATTTCAGACGATAAGCTGGATACGTGTCTGTGTTGTACATACTTAAAGATCTGTGACGACGTTAATTTTTTCTAAACGATATCGGAATTTTTACTTTACAACTCAAATTTTATAGAAATTTGCCGCAATATGGCGGTGCTGAATGACAAATTCAACTGGAAAAGTGTTATATTTTCAAAAGTTGAAAAGATTTAATTTTAGTTCGTAGATTAAAAATCAGATTATGCCTTATTTTTATGGTGTGCTAAGATTATTTTTGCAAGAGGCGCTCGTAGGTATAAAGTCGTTACTGCGCCTGGGAACTAATATTTTTACGCTTATTCTGATATATTAGTTATAACAAAAATATTTTTTTAAGACATATATATTATATATTATATAAAATTAACACTTATATTATATGTTGAGGATTATAATTTCAAATAATTTTGTTAACCTTAACTTTTATTGTTCTCTAAATACTATTAAAATTCAAAAATCGCAACCCCTTCGAAAATAGAAATTTTCAAAAACTCTTTCGATTATTACATAATATATTTATTGACTACTAAGATGATTCATAAAAAACTTACAGTATTTTAATTTTGTGACAATTAAAAATGATATAGTAAAAAATGTTAATTTTTCAACTTTAATAGCAATTAATACATAACCAATTACATTGAATAGGATTTTATTTTATTATACGTTTATTAATATTATATGAGTTAGTATTAACTTAAATGATTCTATTTAAAAACTTGTCAGTTTTTTTTTATAGGAAAATATCTATAAAATGTAAACGTTATTATTAGATCTAAATAGAATACAATAAATATCGCTAGTTGTTAATAGTTTGGTGTTTCACGTAATCTTCCGTGCAGTACTTGTCATTAGTTGATCAGCTCTCGTAGGCGTCTGATGTCAATGTGAGTATAGTAGTAACATTTTTTGTTTGCAATTGTTATTTTCAATTCTCTTATTATAGTATATTGAAATTTACTATGATTGATTTTTTAAGGCTGTTAATCGGAATAAAACTTGACTAAATATTCTTTTTTTTTTCTTGTTCTACTAGTGTTCTTGTTTTTTAGTGTTCTGTACTTATTTTTTGTAATATTTCATATCATTAAAATATTTAATGCACAATTTTATGTAATGTATATAATTTTTCTAATTTTTTGGGAGGTTAAATTATTGGGGAACTAAGGCCTCCTAGCCTTCCACCTTTCGTCAATGATGTTATATCTTTATTGTTACGACTATTTTATTTGGATGAAATATGGGCGTCATAAAAATATTTTTGGTAGTACTGAATTTAATATTTTGATGTAACTATTTATACAATTTTCTAAATTTTTGGGGATGAAAATATAAAACTGTTGCCGCTGAAGACCGGTAGTTGTGCTACTGACTTTTTTTTCATTGTGTGGCTTATGCTATTAATTTCAATTTTTTTTCCAGATGTCATTCACATTTTATGTCTATGCAAATGAAAAAATTCTTCCTAATAGCGTGGAAGGAAATCCTCCACTTGTTGTGAGGGGAAGCAATGAAACAGGACGTGGTGGAAGTAATGAAACAGGACGTGGTGGAAGAGGACGTGGTGGAAGAGGACGTGGAGGAAGAGGACGTGGTGTAAGTGGACGTGGTGTAAGTGGACGTGATGGAAGAGAAAAAAAATTTGGAGGGTGTAAGTAAAATTAAGATTTTATTTATGAATATTTAAATTATTAAAAATTAAAAATATAAGTTAAATTATTAGTGAGGTTTCTTTGTTCTTTTTTTTGTTTTTTCTGTCATATCCAGAGATTGGATTATGACAGAAAAACCAAAATATATATGAAATGATTCTTTTAATGCTAGACACTCGATTTATCCTAATATATAAAAAATATTAAATTTTTTTTTCTTTTCTTTTAGTTGCATACTTTTTTCAGTTTTGTAATTTTAAACTAATAATTTATAAAACTATTGTTTTACAGCTTGTAACTTTTGCCAATTAAAAGGCCACAAGGCGGCAAATTGTTCTGCTAAAGGTAAATATCTTCTATGATAATACTGATACGACCACATATATGTGATCATATTCCATAACATTATTGTATCGCCGACTAAGCTTATAACGTTGACACAGTGATACACGTATTACTACAGGGGGGCGGACTGCACATATAAACACTTTTGGAATTCACGGCCACTGTGTCATAATACTAATGTTCCAAACGTCAGTTGACTTTTTAACATTGAAACCATTTCTCTATTGATTTATATTTAACTTATATTAGCTACCATCGAAATAGTGTGTGGGTTGCCGTCAGCTCCTGTTATATTATTATCATCTCTAGATGTTGTATTGTAGATTTAATAAATACTTATATCGTTGCTAATCTAGAGTATTATATATATATTTCTAGTGTGACCCTTGATAGTTAGTTTAAAGGGAATGTAAATTAAATAGGAAACCTCGGTACCTACGGTAGATATAGCCTAGCCAGCTAGCCTCGTTGGTCGGCAGAATACTGTTAAGAGGCATTTAGGCTCAACCCCTTAATAGCAATGTAACAATACCTTTTACTTTTTCACATTTTTTTGTGCTACATTAATTAGGAATTAAGATTAGATTAGTTTTTTTTTTTCAAAAATTACACATTTCTCATTCAATAAATCCAACAATATTGACTTATGTCATTTTTTTTTAATAAACATATTGCTTTAAGTAGTTTTTAAATATTGATCTAAACAAAATTTGTTAAAATAGTTTTTTGATTAAATTCATGATAAATTAAATTTCATTATTTTTTATGTTTTAACAAAGTTAAATGTTTAGATATTAATCCATTGCAATATATGAACATAATACTACAATAATAAAAAATTATAGTTTTAAGGTAAAAAGTGAAGATAATGTAAATGTAAATGAATAGGGTATTTGTAAATTCATTTTTTCTCTTAAAATATTTAGCAGGTTTAATTTTAAATTGAAAAGTTCTTGTCCTTATGTGTTTATCATATTGAATGTAAGTTTGAAATTAAAACTTCAATTGTTTACAATTATCCCACTTTACCCTTTTGTGTAAAACTGAAATCCCTGTTATTAATGAAATGTATAATTCTTCAGGTATAAGTGTTCTTGAACATTGAATAGGAGTTGTTTTCTTTTGTCTCTAAAATTGAATGTGTGTTGGCAATATTATACTAATCCAACTTAATTTTGATATGTTATAGCTCAGTATGTTGAAAAAAAAAGTAGACAGCAGCAGCTGCGACTACAACAAAAGAAAATACAACAAAAAGAACAGCCAGAAAAAGAACAGCCAGAAAAAGAACAACAACAATATAATATGTGAAATTTATTTAATATAATTTTTTTAATATAAAAATCTGTTTTATTAAATTTTTTTTTCTCATTTTTTAACATTCTAAACAGCTTAATTATTTGTATACAGTATCAGGGAGAGGGCCACAGTGCTCATGTCTCCCCATTGACGGCAATATTAATTTCTAAAATTAAGTAATAAGCAATAAAAAAAAGTCCAGCATAAGGATTTTTTTTTTTTTTTGAGTTGTTTTGAATATGACTTCATTATGAAATCCTGCTTAAGCCACTATAGATGTTTGTTTAATATAACTAGATAAATTACACTTCTCAAAAATAATTAAATTAGGAAACGTACTTGTGAACATCGCTATTTCTCACTTATGAAAATTATTTCATTTTTGAGTCTATAGTTTTAACTAATTTTTTGTTGAACTAATCACTTATATTATTTCCTGTTTTCTTAATAGTTCAAACTATACACTTAAAAATAATTATATTATTATAATATATATTTATATATTATATAAAATAAATTAAATAGTTCAACTATTTATTTTAAATTAAAATAATTAACTTGGGTATGTAACTGTAGTTAAATTTTACAATTAAAATTGTAAATCACTTGTAAGTACTTATTTTTTTAAGGTAATTTATTGCAATCATTTTAGTGGATACAATCTAACCTGTTGGGACTATATCATTCCACTTATTTATTCAAATTAATTTGTGAACTTGTTATGTTTATAAATTAAATTTTGGAACACCGGACTTTTGTCTGTACTTTAAGTCTTGTATAATATTTCAATGATTTATAATAGGTGTGGTTACAATGAATGTCAACAAATATTTTGACAACCTGAACATTTTGGGTAAATTATAACAATCGAGGAAATTTGTAAAAAAAAAAGACGTTTATTTGAAATTTAACAACAGATCCTTAATCTATTGTTATCATTAAGGAATACTAAGTTGAAATATTATTTAAAACGTATTAATTCATAAACTTATACTAATTCATATATTAACATACATTATATGTTTTTAGTTATAATTCTATTCAAATCGTGTAATAGAAGTTAGAACAATTGTTCTTATGAACGTTTCATTAACCTAATCTTAGAGACGTTCTTGTTTCATCTTTGATTTCGTCACATAATATGCAATAAAAATCATTATTACTATAATCGTTTTGTCTGTACTTTTCCATTATACAGTTAATTGCTATCCATCGACAACATTTATTGCACGACACCCATTCAATATATTTTCCTTTATGTTTATCTTCATGTTTTGAACAATAGAGACATATATTTGTCATATCACCTGAGTTTTCCAACAGTAATTTTTTCAATTCAGTCCTATATTTATCAGGGTTAAACTCGCTGTCAAAATTTAACTCATTCATTATGGTAATTGCATAATAAATTATAAATATTCCACAGTTATAACTATCAACTTGTTTCGGTATGTTTTTGTCTTCATATTGAGACCATGTAATAAGAGGAATCTGTCCACCAATATAAGTAGAATGTTTTTGCAATGATTTATTTAGTTTTTGAAACTTTGAATGATATTTACGATCCTTGTGATCTACATCATTAGGGTCTAAATTTGGATAGTATGGGTCTATTATGTAACATTTTCCTGCATGTTTAGGTACATTATTGTTATTATAAGTTGTTTCAAATTTTATAATAGCAATAATCCAATGATTTGGAGTATTGTCACACCATGGCATAATTACTGTGCTATTTTCAACAAAGTTATACTTATTTGTTAATTCTTCATTTACTTCTGATTTACTTAAAATTTCAGACACTTGATTGCAATATAACACTCTGATATCTGTCTATTTTCTTGGGNATATAACACTCTGATATCTGTCTGTTTTCTTGGGCGTTTAATAGCCAAACAAATATCTATTACAAAGTTGTTCAACCAACATTTTCCATTAAGACAAAGAAAGTCATCTATATCTAATGTTTGTATAGTACATAAGGTATAAGGTATTACATGGTAATATGTTCCAACTGTATAGTTTAGACGTTTTACTCTACTTTTATACAAATAACTTACTCTGTTTTTGTGTTCAACCTCTTTATAATAACCCAAATTTTTTGGTAATTTGTTACTATNCTATAATAACCCAAATTTTTTGGTAATTTGTTACTATACAAATCATTTCTAATAATGCTATGGTCTGGAGTTTTATAACTACCTGGAGTTGGTATTGAATTTTTAGAACATTGTTTAACCACCATATCACCTTCTTGGAACGATATTTTACTAATTTCATTTTGAATTGAACTACTAATTTGACTTTGATTTTTCCTAATATTTTCAACATGTTTATTTATT